GCGTCCTGGATTCAACTGCTAGCCACTATCCATCTTTGCTTATAAAAGCTTGTGAATTAAGGCAATATCGAGGCATACGCACAGTATGCACATATGCCAATAACAGACTGATCAATTTCAATCTTAAACCTCAATGGGAAGATACAAGCAGAAATACCAAGTAAAACCGTTAATGTTAGGATAACTAATAAAAAGTCAAGGTTATTTACCTTTCAATCTTGGAGTGACCATCAGACGTATGAAGAACTCTAGGTGTAGTTTACCAACACTAAAAGTTCGTCGGATCGCTCTATTCAACTTTACTATCAACGTTTCACTGGATGCATCGCCTCTAAATTATAAGTGTATATACAGAGAACTTTTGCCTATAATTAAGCCTTCTTTATGCTCTCTTTTCATGGCTAAACGTTTGTTTAGTATGCAGTGCCTTTACTTCCTCTTCAACCGCATCTACGGACCACATGGTCTTGATTCTATGGCGAAGTGTCTTACTCAGGTTCCTTTTGTACTGTAAAGAATCAAAACTAAAGGAATTCGCATATTCCTCAGTCCAAGTAGTTTTCTTGTTTGAGTTTCTTCTTAGTGATCTATCTATTCCCTTTGTAAGTAGAACATCTAGAAAAAGCTATTATAGTTCTGTAAATCAACTAGTTTTTTTTGATAAAAATTAAGGCAACCGATGAAATGATAAACTACGGTTCTTTTTTTATTTCGCGGCTTCTTATCAGCTACACTGTATTTTCTTTAATTGAAACTTTTATTAAGACAACTCAATAAATTATATACTATGGCTTTATATCATAAAACTTATCAAAGAAACAATTCGACTATTTATAAATCAAGAGCATATGTTACAACTATTACAGTTCCTTCTAATAACGTGTGCTTATGAAGAAAATTCTAGAGTTTGAAAAAAGTATCCAAATAATGAATTCTATAAAAGGAATTTATAATACTAACCGATAAATTACAAAACCACTACTTAGAGAATAAAACTACTGAAGTGTAGGTTTAACCTAGTGCAAACTATGAAAAGATGTAAAACACAATTAGACTGAAATGAAAATGTAAATCCCAAAGGAAGCATACTTTAATTGGGGAATATTTCTATTTATTTTGGTGTCATTGTAAATTTATAAAAATTAAAATTTTTAAAAAAATTGAAAATAATTTAATGGTTGAAGCTAGACCACCATGGAAAACCTGGAAGTACTGGATGACCATTTCGTCCAAATATGGGACCCTTCAGCAGTAAGCGTCCATGACCCCGCCTCACGAGATTCGAACCCATGATCTATCAGTCTCACGTGCGAACGCTTGACCACTAGACCAATGAACTGCCATCCAATGGTGTTAATGTCTAACTTTAAACAATCCACGAAATTGTTCCACCGTCTAAAATCATAACTTAATGACTTTTGTTTACGAATTATTTGGTTATATCAATGTTGTAAATCTTGTTCTATTAATTATCTAAAATTTTTTGTAACATGTTTTAAAAAGTAGGAGGAAAAATATTTTTCTTCTTTAAATTCTTAATATATAACTGTCACAAAATTTACCATGTGATTCACAAATGTATTGATTCAATGATGTGGCCAAATTATTTAGGTATTAAGCTTAACCTAGAATAGAATAGAATAGAATTACATTTGGATGATTTTTACTATATCAGTCGATTCTGGTTTATATGGTACAACATAAATGAACAATCATTCTATTTCTAAATTTCATAATGAACCTCTGTGCCTTTACTTAAAACTTTATTTATTGTTGGATCTGGCTATAGTTTTCTTGTGAATCTAATGTTCATAGCTAAAGTCATAAAATCTATCTAATGGTTGTTAAAAATTTACTCTTCTTGTAGTTTGGTTGGCATAGTGAATTGATTTTTCATAGTGAAAATGTTCTTTTTCTATTCAGCTAATCTAAAGAGAGTTTATTTCAACTAAACTAATAGGATGGTTTACTTTACCCAAAATATTTGTAAATAGTATTCATTAGTACCTCGAATAATGTTTTTAACTGATCGAGGTCGATACAGGTAACATGTTTATTCAAGAAATAAGCCACTGTTTGATAATTCACCCTAGAAGTCATAACTTTGTTTCATATAGTCTAATAAAAAAGAGAACTGTGATATTTGCTAAAAAGTGCTTGTAGCTTGGGATCTGTAACTGTCATTTATTAAGGGATTTTGAGCAGAAATTTTAATTACTTGGACAATTCATACTACAAATAGTTTACCCTAATCAACCAAAACACAACATTTTTATCCAAATTCCGCAAATAAACATTTACAAACCAACGCATGTGACACAATAAGACATGGAGATATAAATGTATCACAAAAATATATTTTAAGCAAATATCGATAGATCAATCATTTTTCACAGTCTACCGCATTACATGTAATCTGCCATAAGCACTATGGCTAAGAATTCTTCAAACGTTTAAAGTGACTGCGTTATGAAATATAACAATGTCGACTTACATTTACATGAAACGAATGAAGGTTTTTTAGTATATATTAAGTGATTGGTAGTCGAATATTCGATTTAACGATCCTATCTTACGTTACTTGTATTAATTTCTGTGATTGAATCGTATTCATGCCTAGAATTCATTCCAACCATTTTAACATTTACTAACAATTGTAAGTTAATAAACTCCCCCATATTTAAACTAACTATACCTTAAAATTCACTGGGACTTTCGATTACTAGATTCAACATATAGTTGAACAAACTGATAAGAATTTATTGTAGAAAATATTATCCCTTTCATGTTTCTGGTTAGCGTTTTTTTAGCAAGTTAGTTTTCTACGGGATGGGATCGCAAACCATATGCCCAACCCTCCTCCCCTATCCGAGCTTGGAACCGGCACTAGCCCTAGAGGGGCTCCCTTTTATATTACAGATGGAATGTTTTAACATATAATTCATTAAATTGTTGATTAAACGTATCCAATTCGTTTTTAATTCAAATATTTTCCTAATCCATATTCTTATTGTAAATATAATATTTATTTGAACATTACGATAAACAATTGAAGTAAAAGCCTACGATTAATTTCGGATTCAAATTAGGTGAAATGACAAGAAAAGAAATGAATACTTTGAACTGTTTTATAAGTGAACTGATAACAAAAAACAAACATGTTGATGAGTTATATGATTAAATAGTAATTTACTAGTTGAATTCATGAGTCGATTGCAGCTAGACGACCATGGAGAACCTGGAAGCACTGGACAGCCGTTTCGTCCTAGTACAGGACTCCTCATTAGTGCGCATCCACCACTCCACCTCACGAGATTCGGACTTAGGACCTATCAGTCTAGTGACCAAACCAATCAGCTCAGAGAATAAAGCTCTATCAAAATGATTCACCTGAGCTACAAATCCCTATCATCTCAACAACAGATCCGTAAATAATAATGTGAAGACTATAATTATTTTATGTAAAACATGAGGTATAAAAAATGTAATTAATATTTTGATAATATTTGTGTACATTGTGAAATAATATAAAATTGACATGTTTTGTTTTTAGTAATGAATTTAATCATATACATGTTTGGAGAGACTATAATTTATGGACGACCTTTGAACGAATCTTAAGTAACCTTGAGAATATTAGCCAATCAGCAAACAGTCAATACAGAGTAAAAATATATTATACAAAACTAAAGAAATAAAGTGGATACACTTCAAAAACTTGTCAAGGTTAGAAAGAGGTTCAGAGGTTCTAAAATCCTAATGCATGCAGTAGAGGATATCATACATATGGCTACAGAATAGCCGGACTCTGGATCCATGATAAGGTTGTAAAGACTCCTTCAGCCTCGGCAACATAGCTTCAATATTGTTTGTGTGTACTCCGGTTGCTGAGTTCATAAAATGCCACTTGTGTATAACGACGCGATGCCCATAACCAAGCCTATGTAGGAGTCTGTACGCTCTTCAATCATCCTTATATATTGTAGCACCTGGCTGCAGTCAGTGTTACTGGTGCTTTTATTATCCAGTTCGCAATAATTATCATAATTTGCCTTAGGGATTATATATAGGTTTTTCATCACGAACTGACATAAGCTATAATGCAAAATCTCTATTTAGCTCAATTATCACGTTTTGTATAAAATCCTCTGTAAACCGATCGTATGTTAGCATTAAGTACTGGATAAATAAATATATGTAATATCCCAATGAGTAGAAATTTAGATTTTCTGACGTTTCGTGACTCAGTGTAAGTCACTTCTTCAGAGAATAAATAACCAAATTAAAATTAATCCAAGCTTAAATAGTACAACGGAACAATGCAAGAATAGTATTTGATCAATCAACAACAGGTCTGAACAAGTTGATGTCATGTCATTTCTGTAAAAGTGATTCATAAGTGACATGTATGTAAATTTGTGTGTGTATGTATGTGTGCATTGTTTAAGAATGACAACTTGTGTGACCTTTATGGTAAGAAAGGACAGAGTTTAAATCTGTAATATGATAATGTGAAATTGTAAATACAATCAGACTGAATGGTTAGGATAGATGGTCCAAGTAGGATATATGGTAAGACCTTCTTTTGCATTGAGACAAGTAGGATTAAGCATTATATGGAAAGCTTCAGCTACTCTCCTTTCTTTGAAATGGGAAAAGCCTTTTTGCAATATTTTGATATTTTTGAAGTCAATTTGGTGGTCGTTGAAAATGGCGTGAACTGCTATTGCCGATTAAATTTGAAGTCTATCCAGTTCTACGGGGTTGTTAGGAGGTTTCTTTTTGTACCTAATATGTCCTTTGGCTCTAGTCTAGATTTCGCGAGATGACTCTCCAATATAGAAGGCATCACAATCGAAACAACCTAATTTGTAGGCGCAGTTCTGTGTAGACATGAAAGGGATTTTTTTCTTTTATGCGAACTAAAGTATTTCGAAGTGTGTTCGTTGTTTTGTAATATACTTTAATTCTGTGTTGTTTTAGGATTCTTTGGATTTCTTCTGTTGTGCCATGACGGTATGGTAAAACTGCAGTACCAAACCATGGCATTTCATTCGAATTATTATTATCACTCATTGAACCGTCTTGTTTTAATATACTTCTGATAATCTTCATAGGAGATTTATTGAATTGTAAGATATTAATTACATCCTTTTGTTCTTTCTGTTTGTCCTCTTCTGATGTGATGATCCTATTAGCTCTTCCAAAAATATTTAAGGCTAGCGAGATCTTTCGGTTGATCACATATTATTCTTATTGTTCCGTTGTACTATTTAAACTTGGATTAATTTTAATTTGGTTATTTATTCTTTGAAGAAGTGGCTTACACTAAGTCACGAAACGTCAGAAAATCTCATTTTTCTACTCATTGGGATATTACAAATATAATATTTGTTTATAAAAATCTACCCAATGCACAATTTATTCGAAATTATCAAATCAAACTGTGGTAATGATACCTATTAAGTACTGAAGTTGGTGCTGTGACCTTGAAATCCCTCAAACTCTAGACGATGTATTCTCATGTTTATAAAATTTCAATTTTCACATGAAAATCCTCTTATTCTTCAAATATGTTTAGATTGTGACTATGGAAATCTAAAATAAGAATCCGTGTTTACGTTACTTATTTTAGAAGAATTTTTAATGATCATACAAACAAACCTCTGTCATTGTCATAAATAAGAATTTTAACTTCGATTCAATGAAAGAACTTTTACTTCATGTCAAAATTGTTATTATTTTTTAAAGAGGATCCGTAATATCGACAAACTCAAGTCCAAATGTACTATTATAAAGGAAATACAAAATACATCTAGAAAGAATGAAATAATATAAACTACCTACCTAAAACAATAGCTAATGTTTTAGTAGCTTTCTTTTCCCGTTTAGCAGCTAAACTTTCCTTTAAAGTTATATTACTTCCAGATCTACTTGCTAAAAAATAAGTCATATTGATTATACTACTAGATGAGTTTACTTCCGGATTTAATTGTTCATTTTTAACTTCACTAGACATGAGGCTTTTAGGATTTTTAAAAATTGATTTTTTCAATAACTGTTCACTAGTTTGTTCATTAAGTGATTTAGATGTATCATAAGGAATAAGTGATTTCATACGTTTAATTTGTCGTTTAGATGATAATGATGATTTAAATCTATTTGTAGTTGATTTTTTTACATCAATGTTTGTATTCAATGCATACACTTGTTTACTAGATAAACCTGCAAATACATTAGTTGTGAGCATGGATAAACTACTACGTTTTGCTTGTTTAATGCGATTTTTTAAATGTTTACGAAAATCATCCATATTTTTGAATTCTGACTGTGAGCTTGGTATATCACGATTATTGTTAGTATTATTATCATTATTAGTAGTAGTAGTGGTAGTAATAACGTTGTTATTTGTAGCTTTTGTATATGCTTGTGTTAAAGTTGATGGTGGAATTTGAGGTTCAAAAGAATTCTGAAAACATTCAGCATTGGTTGATATAGGCGTCGGTTGAAGCTTATTGGTCTCATTAGGTTCCACTGAATTTGTTATAGTTTCTGAATAAGTAATAGGGGAACAGTTACTAGATAAATTAGATGTACCGTTAATATCTGTTAGATATTGATCATTTATATCATTTGCTTTATATGCATTATGGCTCTCTGTACAATAAGACACATTTGAATCGATATATGTTTCAATACCACTTGATTGACAGTCACATACCTGTGGATTAATTGCAGTTAAATATGTTACATTTTCTAAACTATCACATATATTCACCTCTTTAACTTTGATCGATATAACAGATGTCTGGTTCATTGTTTCACAACGTTTTGCATAGTTTTGTACTTGATTACGTATGCTTATCAATTTGGATCGTTTAGTTCTTAATTGAATTGCTTTAAATACTTGGTAATATAATACAATCATAATTGTGCATGGTACATAAAATGATCCAATAGAGGAAGCAATTATATATTCCGGAATATACATAACACACATTTCTAAATTTCGATATGGAGCATTATTTAATCCACATGCTATTGGTAATGCAATTACAAATGATAATATCCACGTGGCTGTTATGGTAATTCCAACGCGAACATTTTTACTATGTTGAGCATATGTAATCGGTCTAGTCACAGCCACATATCTACAGGAAATTGAATACAAAAACTGTATTAATTATATATATATATATATATATATATATATATATATATATATATATATATATATATATATATATATATATATATAATAAGGGTAATAGAAGTGAGGAAGGTAAATAGGGCCAGTGTATAGATTTATTGAACAGGTGGACGAAATTCTAACAGTGAAGTGATGAATTCCATCTACAGTGGTTTATGTAATTAATATTAAGATAATTTATAGCTCATATAGTACGTAAATGTAACGCAATCGCGCCAAAATTTTCACATAGAAACATTCTTCTAAATTTCAAACTTCTGGCCAAAAGGACTGCCTGTTTGTCATGTTAAACTGACATATTACAAGCTCTTTAAATTTGATTGCATTATTCAAACAACATATTCATGATTTTCATCTAATAGTACTTTCATTTTTACACTTTCGAAAATGCCTAATGTTTAAATTGAGCAATATTGTCTACATCTAGTTCTTCATCAGAATTTACTCTGATGTGCAGAATAAGTTACATAGCTTTGCCTATTCGATATGTATTTACGAATTTAGCTACATAATGACTACTACCAGACAACTTGGACAAAGTTGGCGGTTGTATCCTTTCGTGGTTTAAAAATGAATTATACAATGTTAGTCAGATAATATGTTTGATCCCAGCTTATCTGTGGCAACCATTCAGTAAATATAACCAGAACAATGAAAAGAAATTACCGATGACCCCAACTTTTACTCATTGGGGTTCGATCTCTCTTATATGTAGTTCGAACTACAAGGTTATGAGACAACAACACTGGTTTTTATATTCAGGAGGTGTTTGCTTTGTTTCTGTATTTTCACTGATCAACGAAAATTTATTGGGCTATCCTGTTACGTTTTTCTGACCTAGTATTTCTTCACCTATTTCCTATCAATACTTTACTATTTGCATATTCACAATGATTACTTAGCATGTTGATTATATTTTGATAATTTATTTTCATATGTTTTGACCTACTTTCTATGTATCAAAATACTTTTAATACTATGTTTATTACTCTTCTACTGACTACCATACCTATCATCTTGCTATCATTTTGTATTTTCTTTTACCTATTATAGTTAGTTATATGACGTATTTTACTGTTAATACTGAGTCATAAATTACCATGATTGACTTGATATTCTTCTTATATAAATCTAAATATTACTTTCAACAGTTGAAATCATGAGTCAATTGAGGCTAGACCACCATGGAAAACATGGAAGCACTGGACGGTCGTTTCGACCTAGTATGGGACTCCTCAGCAGTGCGCATCCACGATCCTGCCCGACGCGAGATTCGAACCCAGAACCTATCAGTCTCGCGCGCGATATTCAGCCTATATTTTGACATTTAAAAATTATCTCATATAAATAAGCTTAATGTTTACGCTTTATGAGATGTCAAAACAATGCCTTCTAGTAGAACAGTTTAACACAAACATTTTAAAATTAATTTGTTGTCTAAGTTTCAAGTATCATAAATGATATATTTTACCTGTCCATACTAATAGCTGCTAAATTTAGAATAGATGCTGTACACAAAAGTACGTCAAACATAATAAATATATCGCATAGCACGGTTCCAAGGCGCCATTTTCCATTATTAGCCTAGACAAAACAAAATAGAAAGAAAGTATTAATTCATATAGAAATAAATTACTAGACATTGACAAAATCAAATTGTTTCTTTTTGGAAGAATTAAGACAAGTGATTATGAGAGTTAGATATAATTATTTATAATCAAATGATTTGGCTTACAATGTGATATCACTGGCAAACAATGTGTTCTAAGCCTTTTTCATCAGTACTTTACCAATCAGTTTATTTTACTTCGTTTTATGTATTTTTTGCACAAATAAACTCTGTGATGAGACTAGTTTATGGACGACCTTTGAGCAACTCTAAACATAGCTTGAGAATATCCACCTACATACTACGACTAAATGAGGGTTATAAATAAGTTTGAGGAATTAGGATTGATATTTTCAGTCAATAGTTACGGCCAGGAATTAGATATATGATTTTCATCACGAACTAACATCAGCTATAATGCCAAAACTCTACTCAGCTAAGTGAATGAATTAATTTTGCGCTAAAATCCACAACCTGTTGTCGTAAATCTGATTGGTTGGTCCATAAATTATAATCTCGCCAACTCTGATAACGTCATTCATATAGGAATTATCTGTAGTTAACAAATTTATGCCGCACACATTTCGATTCAATATACGGTAACTACTAAACTTTTGCCCTTAACTAATGGTTAAAACAGTATGATTTTGTAGGTATCGTTAAAATGGTTTGATTTGACAATTTCAGATAAAGTAAGCGTTGGGTAGATTATTATTAATAAATGTAATACATTGGCAATATCCCAATGAGTAGGAAAACTAGGTTTTTAAAGTTTTGGACGTTTCGTGACCCAATGTAAGCCACTTTCAGAGAATTATCTGAATAACTGGCTTACACTGAGCCTGATTTTCAATTAGAAGCTGTTGTTTTTAACCTATTCATGACTTCTTGCGTTGGACAGCTGCGTAGTATCTCTATCTGTCACACAAGAATGTGACGCAAAGCCGCATAAATCAACAGTTGCCTGGTGAGTGAGTTAAACCATGGAGTTATAAATGTACTATTAAAGTTTTTCTTCCAAATTATTAACATTGATTGGGATGCAAATTATCTACTTCTACACCGACTTACCTCAACCCAACTGGCAACTGGCATAACAACTATTGCTAAACTAATATCTGCAATAGCTAAACTGACAATAAAATAATTCGTAGCTGTATGTAAACTTTGATCTCGAAACACACTTAGCACAACCAGCACATTACCAAACACGGTGACTAGTGGAAATATTAAAAGTATCATTGCCCAATAATGAAATGGTTCTCCATGAAGTTGATAAAGTGGTAATTGTGAAAAAATATTTGTAGAGTTTACAATATCCAAACCTGAAGCTATTTCCAATTCTCGTAGCTGACTCTGGGTAACAGCGTAAGATGATCCTTTCACATAGAAATCTGGTGGACCATTAGGCCAGTCAATATCTGTAATATGTTGGATAGCTAATTTCTCTGTTTCTGAAAACATTAAATTTCCTGAGATATCTGTATATCTGCTCTTTGTAATTAATCAATCTGATTGTAAGTTTTTCTCCAGTATGAAAACATGGTCACTCCTTCGCATAACATTGTTACACTTGATATCTGAAAATTAAAAGAAAACATCTAATTAATAACCTGCTTAAGTTCTGTTACATCTAATTATTTTTCTTAGTTTATCACGTATAATATTAGATAGTACATGTAGTGTGGTGTGTGCTACTTATAATGATATAAGTAGTATATAACGCGAGTTAAAGAACGTAATGTCTGGCAGCAAAAGATGGGGGAAGATCAAGAAAGGAAGAGCGAAAACATAATAGAATTTGTAAGAAACCGCATGAACAATGAAATGTGAGACAATGGATTGATGTTTGCAACGGTAACAGTCTGGTTTGATATGATGGAATTTCGCACATTAACGATTTACTATTTGTTTTTTTTCTATTTTACCAAGTAACTCTGTAATTTTGTGCTATATATAATTCGGTTGTCTTCACCTGTGTTCTCCTTCACTACAGTAACACCTCAAAATCTCTAAAGTTTTTATAGATTTCATGTTGGTAACATATGTAGCACATCAAGGGTAACGTATGTAGTAAATACTGTATGTCAAAATAGAATATTATCCAGGATAAGTTCGTTTTTATCATTTAAGTAATCTTAAGTAAATTATTAAATGAAATGTCGAATTATTTTGTTTCAAAAACATTGCGATGCTTAGACTTTAACAAAAGTTGCTTGATCAAACAGAACCACATCAACGTCACAGAAAGCCATGAAGATGCAAAAACCATAGTATAAATTATAAGAACATAGTAAGTTGTATTAAAATAAAAAAAATTATTTAAATGCAACTGAGGTAGTCTGACAATTTGTGCAAGAGGTACTCATTATTTTTCAGGTTTTTTTTGTCTAAGCTACATGGTTTAGTCATGAAGCTTTCATTGGTTTTCTTGACAACATTGTTGGCGCATATATCAAAACGAAGTGCGACATGAAAATCTCTCTACAGTTTATTAACAGCCTATTGTATTTAGTAAGGATTTAATCAGTTTTTTCTTTTAAAAAATCATTTCAATTTCATTAAGTTCATTGATTCATACTCTTTTCTTCTTGAAAAGTGAACTGATGATATTGTATGAAATGACAATGTAGTTTAAATGGCTTAACCATACAGATTAGAGAGTAGAACATTTAAAGATTCCTTCACTTTAGTTACTGGAATTCTTTGTTATATATTCTATATATTCTATATTCTATTTTTGTAATAATTTGGCTGTTTAAAAGTCTGGTTTTACTTTTAAACCGTTAATTCTGTAATTGGTTTATTAAATGAATTTCCATTTCCAACGTTGCCATTAGTAAAACCCTTCTTCCTTCTAACAAAATCATCGACCGATGAAATGCGATGTTAAGAACAATTATTTAACTTATTTGTTAAAATTGGTTTATATGACCTAGAAACACTTCAGAATAAGAATTTTTTTAATTTGAGAAAATTTTAACTCATGAATTGAAAAGAGTTAATTGCTATGATTCCCATATTCTCATGTTAGAATATAGTTTATTAAGCAAAAATGTTTTCGATGTTAGATACAAGCCAATATGTTATTTATTGTATTTATTATTTATTTATTTAAACACAAGAGGGCACCAGATACATATGCGCCACACAAATCTCATTTGATTTGTGTGAGGGCTGTGATATTTCCCGGGTGCCGAAACCGAAGCACGTGGTTTTCTTAGGGGGCCACACCTGGAGCCTTTGACCTAAAGATCTGATCTACAATGCAGTGGAGCAACGTAAGGAGATGCAGTCCCATGGTGACCGGTGACCAATGATTGGTTCATATACCATTTGTTCCATCAGGATACTGGAGTACATGTGCACCATTAGTTTGGAATCAGGGTTTTCTAGCTCCCCTAGATGGATCCTCCATATCCACCTACCCAGTTAAAGTGCCAGACATTCGGTTTTCGTCCTCTCAATTTCGTAAACAACACCCCCGCCACGAGAAGACAGTAAGTAGGACTTCCCTGGCAGAGGATATATATGCGTGACCAGGTGAAAGCATTTCGAGAGGGAGAGCGGACTCTTCCCCCTCTCAGCCGTAATAGGGCATTTGGTGGCGTTATTTATTGAAAATATAAGTAATTCATACCAAGATATTATTATTATATGTAATACATGTTGTCTCTCAAATATTTTGCTAAATAAAATATCACTATAAAATAAATTTCATCATTAAACCATCACTAGTTATATAAAAACAAAATTTCACATAAACCTAATTCAGTTGAATTTTTTTTCTTGTTTTTTACATTTTAGTTGATTTCTTTTTTAAGTATAAAGCTTATGTGTACACATAATTAATGTCATTATGATAAGTGAAAGTCAGTTGTTTTACAATTAAATAGTTACAATTTATGTGATGATGTCATAATTTACCTTTTAACAGAAATAATCAACATGTAAGTTATCATTTACTTAAATAATATCAGAATACTTTTTTGGCTTTTGTTCATACCTACAAGATTTATGTCAATGTTTCTAGTAATAACACTAACAATAAATTACAATTATTGTAGTGAAAAAAAACACGAATAGGAACAATCGAATGTATTTGAGCACAGAATTATGGAGCATCTCAATAAAATCTGAGAACCATATAGTAAATCGTTAATTAGCAAAATATCATTCCATCATATCAAACTTGACCGTTCCTGTTGCAAACATCAATCCATTGTCTTAGATTTCATTGTTTATGCATTTTCATACCAACTGCGTTCCGTTCCCGTTCTTTCCTTGTCGACCGACTGCTGAAATACATTCTGTGCCTGACCACCGTTATATCCTACTTATGTGAATATAAGTAATCCACACTACATTATCATTTATATCTGGGAGAAAAACTCAAATTTGCTTAGATACAATAAATGTAATCAGAAAATGTAACTCTCCAGTAGTTTTGCCCTTCACCTAGCCACCTTTCGGATTATTAATTTATGTATAGAATATTCTTCATTCAAGTATAAATCTTAAGTCGTTAAGGAATAAATTGTTAAATATGATAGAGGTGTAGTTACAAATTATATATTATATACAGTTAGTTCCCTTTATGAATTTGAATAAAGACAAAATAACAATTGAAATAGAATAATATGAATTCATTATATTTTATGATTTCCGTTCCTTTGATTAAAATCATATTGAAGTGTAATATTATTCTAAATTTTACTGGTCAGGTTAAGGGAGAAACTATAAGAGAGATAAATTTTATGATTACACTTGTGGTATCTAAACAAACTTGAGTTTTTGTCCCGGATATAAATGATAATTGTAATTTATTGTTAATATTATTTATAAAACTGGACATAAAGCTTGTAGGCAATAACAAAAGGAAAAAAATCCTGATAGTATGTAGGTAAATTATAACGTTCACGTTGATTATATATATATATATATATATATATATATATATATCCATTGGCCGGATACCATCATAAACAGACTTCTGTGGGAGAGAACAAACTAGCTTCCAGCTGAAGAGGAAATTAGGAAAAGATGATGGAAATGGATAGGACATACATTACGCAAATCATCAAACTACATCACGATGCAAGCCCAAACTTGGAATCCTGAAGGTAAGCGTAAAAGAGGAAGGCCAAAGAACACATTACTTTGGGAAATAGAAGCAGATATGAAAAGGATGAATAACAATTGGAAGGAGCTAGAAAGGATTGCTTGGGACAGTGTTGGATGGCGAATGCTGGTGAGCGGCGTATGCTCCTTCACGAGTATCAGACTTGACTGTTCTTTATTTTCCACGCTAAATATCTTCTGTTCTCGTTCTTTTCTCTTCTCTTTTTAACATTGTTCCACCAGACATCTCACTTTCGATTGATGATACATACTACTTATATCTGTCGACAGCAGTAACACACACCACAAAACAAATACGTATCAGCACACCTTACCCAATTACATCAGTATAGCAAGAAGGGAATTAACAAACAACCATAAAAAAGATGCTAAATTACTATACATGCTAATAATACGATAAATATTTAACATAGAGAGTGAGGTTTAAAAAGGAAGCATTAAATTGATGAATTATTACATTTTAAAATAATACCACAACTCAGGAAAAAGTTAAAATACTTGTGCCACACTATCACTGTTAGAGAGACATTATATATATATATATATATATATATATATATATATATATATATATATATATATATCTTTAAAAGAAAGAATACCGTGTTGGGAATTGTGTTAAGTGCGAAATTACACCTCGCATTTATATCATTGAATAGACTAATAAACAACTAACTATTCTTTAAAAAGGTGTAAAGACTAACACCAACCCACAATTGATTGATCACTGGGTGGTGATCAATTTCATGTGTCAAGTCCTTATTGGTGCAATTTGAATGCTATAGACCATATTGCAATGTGGCCACCAGTCTAGGTGACTCGAAACTGCGTGCATTATTGTGAGATTAGATCAAGGAGCACCAGTTCCCTCAAGATTACAGGTACACCTTGCTGACGTGTGCCAAGTAGCACGAAACCTGGGTCCAGGGTTTCCTGTCGACTACCTTCAACCACCATCTAATTAACACCAATATTGTTAGCTAATTATCTATACAAAGTTTGATATTAATAATGATCACAAAGGTAGATATGTAAACAGAAGTTAACTGTGTTCATTGAGATTTCAAATATATGATTATCATAGACTTCGGTAATAAGAAAGACATATAAGCGAACAATTGTTTTCAATTAGATCGTCATCAGGCCTTACATCTACCAACTTGGTACGTAAAGGGCCAGATAAAATCTATTCGCAGTTCTATCTTGGCATATCTTATTGATAGCGGTCATGCTGTAGATAAATCGAAATCATTTCGAGGGATCTATCGTATACCTTCATCATTTCCCAACGGAGTTCGTTGCCGCCTCCTACATATAGCTGAAGCCATTGGAATTCGTACATATAACCCCAATTTATGTGTACAGAAGGAATGCGTAACCCCCCTATCCCTTCCATGGCCAGTTATAACTTAACTAACGATGTTTGTTTTTTTACTTT